GGTAATTGTGGGCATAGTGTTCTGTTTAGGCTTTTCTTCTCCTTTTTTTATCTCTATAGGTTGGACTCGATGGACTTGTGTCTTTTTTCAACCTGACTAACTTGTAACTATGTAACTTGCATGTAGTGTATTTCTACATTTGCAATCAAATTTGAGACTATCCCCCTATGTTTATGTGTTCCTGTTTACACATCAAGAAACATCAAGTTGGATTTGTAGCTCACCATCTTAAAGACAGTCCATTTTCGGTGACCTCTGACATTATTCCTTCTCCTCCCAGTGATTCATTCTTTTTCCCTGCAGGGGCAGCACACTCAATACAACACATAATCACCATGTATCACTAGCAGACTCTCACTTCCACACTCCAATGCACTTGTACTAGACCTCAGTTAGGGGTCTTTCACATCAATTCCTTTGTGGCCAGGAATTCACTGCACATTTCTGCCAATCCCATACATCTATAAGTGGGAAGTATGTCTAATTTACACATGCTGATTAGCTTAATTGTTTTTTCATTTCTTATCTCTACAGGACTCCAACAGCAAAGCCTCTAAGTGTGGGTTCCTGACTCCCTCCAACCTTCTTTGTCACACTTGTGGTGATTCACGTTCTCAAATGGAGTTTTAGTTGTAGTTTAGGTGTTATGTTAAACGTAGCTTCTAAAAAAAAAAGACACACAGACACAGTATAATAAAAACATGTATTGTTAAAATGATTTTAACTTTTTTGTTATATTATTTAAATAATTATACATCAACATTTTCAAACACACAAAGCTCCACTCTGACCTGTCTAGGGCAGCCAAATCTTTAAATGCCAACTCCACCAGAAAGTATTTATCACTTTCGGGTGGGCACTGGTAGGTTAATCTGCACTCAACCACTTATATCTCTTAGACTCCAGTTACAAACGTTCCCTACTGTAGCTTGTGTGCACCCCCCTCCAAAAGACCATAGTGAAAGTGTCACTCTAGCTAGATTTCCAAATTATTTAATTTTTTTCTTAATGGAAAACCCACCAGGGGAGCCTGACTCATTAATTGGCTTTGTAACTGCTACACCACTCGGGCAGGGCTGGGAGTTTCTTTTTACTGGAGTCTTTAGGAAATATAAAAAGACAACATGCCATTCAATCTGCCAAGAACAGCACAGAACTGTATATCCGTTTTTAGGTGAAACTGACATTTAAAAGATTTGGCCATACACACAGTAAATGTCAACAATCTGAAAGTTTGCCATCACTGCAGTCTAGGCAGGGATTAAAGCCCAATTGTATTTGTAAAAAAAACTGATACCTACAAAGTCAGGGTACACCAAAAGAGTATGTTTTAAATATTTTACTGTTGTAGCTAACGACTGCTGCACTCTCTGTCAGTTTGGTATGCCTTCTGGCTTGTCACGACTATGGTGCTGCAATAAACAATTGCAGCACTGTAGTTATGACATGGTCCTGCTGGGGCTTGGTGACCTTTTTAAGCTAAAACAAAAGTAAGCTATTTAAAGTACACATGGTCCCAGACTATGGGAATTGAATTATTTACATTCTTAACAAGCAGTAAAAGAGCCATACATCAAGCTTCTCTCTAGCTGATTGTATTGTGAAGTAATTCATTCCCAAAGATCACCCAAAGTTGGGTTTCAGTCAGTGCTGAGCACAGGACAGGCAAGGAAGAAGACTTAGATTTCAGTGCCCCTGTTGTGAATTTCGAAGATCAATTTATCTGCAATGTCTATAGCTACCGAGGTGAATAAGGGCTTGCTTTAAAATTGTGTTTACTGTTGTTTGGGATATTTAAATACTGTGCATAGCCTGGGCAAAGTTTCACTTTAAAGCTGAAGTGTAATGTAATGTATTCCTTTCCTTGTTGACTTCCCCTGATCAACATGCAATTAATATATTTCATTCAAATCTTTCATTTTCAACAGTGGGTCTTTTTACTGACCTTTGCTCCATAACAACTTTGAGTTTGGTGGGAGGGTTCTTTTAACCCTTTTGCTGCCACTGACGTATGTTATACGCCAGCAGCAGTGGGCCGCTGTAAGCAGATTGCCGGGAGTTTGTTTACATGTGTAAAGCCGACTGTCTGCTTTACACTGGAAGTGATTTGGGTGGCTGTGAAGCCACCTGATCACTTCCAGTGGCCAGCAAAAGAATGTCCCCATGCCCAGTACCCCTGCCTCACCTTGCTTCCTAAGCTCCACTGCCCCTATTGTGAGCCTGGGACCGGCACAACCTCCTCGCTTATCTTTTACTAAAAAAAGGCTCTTATATTGTGGTTTTGTGCACTAAAATTTACTTGTGTATTTTTTACTAAAATGTTGGGGTTTAATAAACAGTTGTGCTAATATCATGCAACATAAAAATTTGCAATGGCCTCCATTTTATTCTACAGGGTCTCTGCTCTTAGGAAATATGTAATTCTAGGGGATTTTAATATGTGTGCAATAAAAGTCCAGAAAATGGCTCTGGCAGTGAAAGGGTTACCTGTGCATTACACTGTAATAGCGTGTAATCAATAAACTGATCAGCAGATTGCACAGCTTAAGCCTACAGCACCCAGTGACCAGCATTGATGCATGCTTAACCTTTTTGCTGCCAGAACCGTTTTTGAATATTTTTTTTTTGCACATTCCGGGGATGTGTTCTTTCATATAATGCTAGGGAAGAGCAATGCAGTGACCGATGCCAGCCCTAAACATTATGCCCACACAGGAGAAAGAGCAAAAATGACTAAGAACAGAGAAAGCAAATCGCTGTGAGAAGGGGGGGGCAGTGACAATACAGAGTGGATTGGTGATTAAAGTCATTCATACAGGAGCTCATGGGGCTCAAGATAGCTGATACAGCTTCAAACGGTTATATTGTGGAGATGCAGGTTTGCAGAGAATTGAGAGTAATCAGTTTCAACACAAAATAGATCAAGTGCTACAAGTGTGGGAACCACTTTTGTACCATTTTCTTGGTATCAGGTGCTTTTAAAGGGAACCGATAATGATCCAGTGGAAATGGTAGGTGTACGCCATGGTCAATGAATCATATATTTTCAAATGGCCAAATCAGTACACTGTTACAACGTTTTCGACCATGCACATTCAAACACATATTTACCTATTTGTACAGAAATTACATATATAAAATACAAGGCATAGTAACAAATGTTACAATATAAATTGGATAAAAATCAGACACTTATAAGAGCTAGTTGCACATAGAACGTGCAGTCTCTATAACAGACCTGGAACAAAGAATGTTTAGGGAGGGGTGAACAGAAGTTCTGTCCACATGATGTTAGGCTGTAATACTGGGTTGTAAAATCTTAATGATTTTATGACAGTTCTGCATCCCTACAAAGGTCATGTGTACTATGCTTATCTTAATTATTGGTCCCTGAAACATAGATATATATCTAGGTCTGAAGAGGAAGGGGAATAGTTTATGAGAACCAGGGACCCTTGTTTTTATGCAACCTTTACTTTAAGTGTATGAGGGTGTATAGCAGTGTAAAAGGGGATAGTTAGAATACTGGTAACATCTACCACCACAGCGCAGTGACATCAATCCTACACCATATGTCTAATGTAAAGGTGAAAAAAATACACTTTCCCCCTGTCTTTTGCATCCATATTCCTGAAACTGTTGATATATTCCAAATTGTGGATATCAAGAGAAATATTTGACACATTTATTCCTGTTTTCAGTTTTCTATATATTTGGATGTACATTTGGACCCTCTACTGAGGATCTATTGAAGTTACCACAGACTCCTTTAAGTGCTCTCAAGCCCAATTTAAAACAATACAATAAAAAGCATGTGCTACATAAACACTGTTTTTGACTCAACACTGCAATTGCTGGTTACCCTTGACCAATAGAGCACTAGGCGCCACCTTTCCAGTTATATGTACCAATATAAACATTATGTCAGCATGAAGAGCAAAGTATATGGCCACCAACCACAATGGGCTGGTATACTTCTCAGCATAACATAATTGCATATTAATAAAAGTAAAGCCTATTGCATTTCCCTCAGGGAATAAAATCCAGATTGTTACGTGGTAAAACATATGTATGACATATTAATACAATTAGAAACATATACTGTATATCACAAAGAAGAGTAGCAAAGCTGCTCTTAAGATCTGCCGAGTGTATTTCAACTTTGAAAAAATAACATTGTATGGGAAAACCCAGGGGTCAAATGAAAAAAAAAACAAGTTCAGACAGTATGTTGGAAAATGTCAGAATTATAAGATAATATCTCAGAACTCCCGGAAAAAATACAGTAGAATTCTGACATATTATCATAGGGACCTCTCAGATATTATCATGGATTTCTGACATACAGTAAGGGCAAAATAATCAGATTTTTTTCTAGGTGGCCCCTGGGCTCAGACTTGTTCTGAGTAATTAGAAATATGTTGGTCCATAATGACTTTGATATCACTGACATTAATTTTCTTTCTTCACATCTATAACATATCTTGATTGTATCACAAATTATAAAAGCAATGTTTGCAAATTATCCAAAGAGTATCAGGAATGAACATAACATTATGGTACTGGTTAAACCTATATATTTCCTGAGAAGATGCCTTCTGAGATACCGGCATAGGCATTTTAAGCTAAGAAAACATTGTAATAGGTTTTAGTTTTCATTTGACTAAACTGTCATGATGTATTGCAGGCAGCACAATAATCTATTGTATATAAAAGGAGAAGCACCAATATACAGTTTTCAAAAGCCCTATTGGCCTCCCCAGTACTGTCACAGCCCAAGCTTTTTTCTATGTGTAACTCCTGCAGAGCATAACGGCAAACCCTGTCTGCCCCTTGATACAAGTGCTGCTGGAATATGCTGGTGAATACTTGACATCACCTTACGTGTGCAGTGGAATTTGTAATCAGAATTTAGTTAAAAATGAGCATAGACTGTGGAAGTCTACAACAGCCCTTACAGTAGAAGGCTGGCTTGTCTAAGCACACAGGTACATAGTCTTATAAATACTACCAGTACACAGGCCAGGAAGAAGGCATTTGTCATGCAGTATATTGGAGAGCATCAATCATTTAACAATGAACCATTGTTCTTCAGTCTCTCAGACACTGGCAGCTACTTTATAAGAGTAACTCTTTGCAAATGGCTCCGCCTTATTTGTACCACAGGTCTTCCAAAATGGCAGTGCCACAACCAGCAAGGAAAGTCCTCCTATAAGAACACAAATGCCGCAAAAGTAAAAGGCAATTTCATACGTCCCCGTCCAGTCAAAGAACCAACCTACAAGTAAATAAATAAATAAATATTAAACAGTAACCTAGGATGAAACCTAAGGACATCATATTAAGAACAATTTGACCGTTTCACAGTATTAAGCTAAATATTCTGGCTTTTAATATATTAGTATTGTGACATAACAGGCAATATATCTTTCTCTGGTAAGTTGTTTTTTTAATTCTATATAATTTAATCATATTCAACAATTGTTTTTATATGTTAACAAAAAATATGTTTTAACTTTGTTTTAATTGATTTAAAACTAAAGAGCTGTCACTGAAAACCAATGCAGCTCTGTTCCTATACACCGTAAAATACATTACACCCTATGTAAATTGTACAGTCTGAAAGGACAACTGTACCTACGAGTTTTCCTTTAAGGCATGCCCCAATCCCCCTAAGTGCAGTCCAACCTGTCCAATACTTACCTCATTCCCTGTTCCAGTCATCTTTATTGTGTGGCCCTGTCTGCAGCTGCACAGCCTTTCTTCCTCATCCTTGGCATGTGCACTGCTGCCCCATTCATTACCATGGGGAAAGTCATACTTCACAGGACAGCTGCAGACCCCCATGAGTATGGATCCCCATATGAATGAATGGGGACCCAGTGGTGGGAACTTTTAGAAGGGCTGTGCAGCATCAGAAAAGTTGGACAACAGGAAAGCAAATATATGCAAACCATATCAAAAATGAAATTGCAAGTCCCACAAAAGCAGAAGCATCTATTTTACACTGACATGTATTGCACATTTACATGCTGTAAATGATCGTCTCTAAAACAAAGGGGAGTCCTGAATAACTGTTCTACTATAAAAGCACTTCAATGAATGGTTTGACAAAATGACCAGCTAGAATAGCTTACCAACTATAGGTGGTCCAAGGCAATTCCCGACACCAGCAAAGAACATCAGTATCCCATAGGCATGAGTAAGTTTATCTAAGCCAACGATGTTTGTTGTTACATATGGAAATATTGACCAATTGCCAGTAAAAAATCCTACTGTTCCAGCAATAGTTGCCAGGGTGGCATATGTCTTGGCGAGAGGGACTGCAACTACTGCCAAACCCGTTGCAATTAAAGTAAAGACGTAGAGATATAAGGTATTTATCCACTTGAAATCAGCCAGGATGCCTAAGAGGAGCTTGCCAATGGCCATCGTGATGCCAAAGATGAATACTAGGGGTACTGCCATCTCTTCTTTACTAATATTGGCACTTTTGGCTACATCTTCCAAAAGAAATCCTGCAGGAAATCCCCCTATGTCAAACAGGAGAATGTTTATGAAAAGAGCAGCGAACACTTTACTTTTGAACAGGCTTGCAGTGTCTTCCCAATAATCCAGGTAGCTGTGACACTTGTTTTTAATTAACTGTTTGCAGCTTTGTTTCTCTGGAGCTCCATGGTTGATGTTATCCCTTTCTATGTCAGGCTGAGTTGTAGTCTTATCCGCTTCAGATTTACAGTTACTATTTAATGAATGGGACTTTTCCTCCACAAGCATCCCCAGTTGTTCCTCTGCATTGAGTTCTTTTTCATGGTAAATGAGGTAGGTGTCTGAAGCTTTCTCTATGGCTGCTTTCTCTTGTCTGTTACTCGATACTACTGGCAAGGGCCTCATCAGAATGCCACATGCCAATATATTTAATGACAGACCTCCAATAATCAGCAAACACCCATCTATTCCATAGATAGATATTAACTCTTTCTGCAGACTTGCATATATAAAAGTGCCAACGCTAGAACCTGTTAAGAGAAGATACAAATAATTATGTACAAACATCTTATTACCATTGTGAATGCAAGATTGCTCTTTACTTGACTCCATCTTGTTTTGGATATTTTATCATCCTTTGCCTGCATTAATTTTGCTACAAGATTCACCATCCTTTACCTGCATGAACCTTTGAACTATGCCAATGGAAGACCAAACTTTCTACGTAAGGTATCCTTGGGGATGGGCTTTGGGTGAGGAGAAGGCCTTAGGGTATGGTGGAAATGTGGAATACGTGTTGTCATGCTTGTTTCTTATTTGTACCTGTTCATTGAGTACTTTGCCCAAGGCAATGCTGCTCTAGTTTTTGTCCAAAGCAAGGATCACTTTTCCTGTTTTACCATTTCACCTTCATTAAGAAATCCTAGTGTCCAGAGAATTATGGCACATGTACTGATATTTAATCCTAAATCTAAAACTGCAAACAAGTTACTTACATCTTGTTATTGCCTGGGGATGGTCAACGCCCATTTTTATTCTGTTAAACTATAAGGTGTGAGTGCAAGAGCAATTTACCAGAGTACTCTTGTATCTCTCCAATATTGCTGTATGGTCAATAAATTCACCTATTCATAAAAGAACTCAGTCTTGTCCTGGGTTGACAATGACACCATTTATGATTAAAGGACAACTATCATGGAAATAGGTAAAACAGTGCTCACATTCATTTAATCTCTGCTTGTGTACTATATCAACCTTCAAGCTCAAGCAGAAAGACCTGAGGAGGCTCCACAAATGATAGTCAATAAAATAACAACCCTACCTGTCCTTGTGATAACCATGCATGCTCAGTATTCAGAATCATTGTTCCGTCCCTGAGCTTGAATGGATTTATGTAGTAAACCAAACTTTTTGTAGTTGTGGATAGTGTTGGAAGGGCTGCACCTGTCAATTACATTCTGTGTTTCCATAGAGATAGGATAGGAGAGCTATATTTTATATATTATAATATATTTTGAGAAACTTACATTGTATTATTTGTATCAATACGCCAATAAGCTCCACCAGTCAGTTGATTATTGAATTCTGTTCAAGTGTACTTTTATTGTAGGTGTGCACACTCACATGTGTTTTTAATTTGTTCCTTCTCCAGTGTTAGCCCTGAAGTAGAGGGAGCTTAAATTCCCCAAAACATGCTGGTGTTTCATTGATCATTGTTTCCCAGCTGGCTGCAATTTCCAAGAGTTTCTATGCACACATGGTGCTCCTCACGGTCCACCACAATCTTCACAGCAATAAAGGCTTGAAGAGAATTTAAACCTGTCACACTATACTAAAATTTTAAAAAAATAAGTTTGACTGGAGCTGGACTTTACAGAAATGTCCCTAGCACCTTTGGATGGCAGGGAAAAGGTGAACTATTGGCTCCCTTTAACAAGCAGTGCAGTATCTCCACATTTCAAAAGCTGGTCATGTGTAGGGATGTTTACAAAGAGTTCCTCTTTGTGATGTTGCAGCAGTTTCCCAAACCACTTGCCCTAGCAGCCTTTACAGCTATGTCAGCATGCATGAGTTCTGTCTTGTTTGCTGATTTTGGGCAGAAACATGAAGAACAATAATGGCTATATGACATTTACCTGTCAATGACCAAGAGCCACAGGAAGAGGGCACATGTACATGTCAAGGAAAGGACAGGATGTTTTAATGGGTAGGGCAAGCCAGAGAACACAGTGCTTGGTTCTAGCCTCTATCAGCATGGGATGAGCAACCATGCTTAGCTGCTCTATTTAGGAAGCCCTGAGAGGTTTATGGGCCTGGCCAAAAATGGCTTAGAGTCAGAAAGGTATAATCAGGTCCACCAACTATCACTGATTGTTTTTGAAAATTTTTTTGGTTTCCAAATATCACAGTTTATCAGATAAGCCACATCTTTCATTCTTATATGACACTTTCACCTTTGATCAGTTGGTTTTTATTTTGTCTGAACTTTAGCTTAAAAGCTGAACTTCAGCTGAACAGCAAAATACACCTTTGTAATGCATATATGGGAGCTGTTTTTCCTGCAAATAGATTTATATTTATATTTAAGTCCCAAGATTTAGACATCCCTGTAGGACAGCCCCGCCAGCATGGTTATCTGACTTTTCTCTGCTGCAGATAAGGAACACCTCCCTGCCCTAGCATGTGACTGAACAGTGAAAGTGAAACAGCAGAAACAAACTTCAGGAGGTCATCCTTTTACTCTCAACGATAATCAGCCAGTCCCTTGTGATTTTGGTACATGTAACACATCTGTCTGGTTTTTATGGGCCCTCACAGTCTTAGTTTTGCTGTGCAGGTGATCACAAGTATTTGAAATCGTCAAATTTTGGTAATTATAACTCTTGCATAAATTACATATTCTTATTTCCAAAAGATATATAGATTCATTTGTGTTGCAACCATTGCTAGTCACCTTCTGAAAATGCTGAGTATCTGTTTCTGCATCAATATTTGTGGAATCACAACCCCTGGAACAAGCATCCAGCACATACGTGTCATAAAAGGTGTCAGAACTTCTTTTCTCTATACTCACTTTGCGTTAGTGCCTCAGAAGGCAACCTATACATTTATCTCTCATGACAGGTTTTCTTTTATTACTTGGAATACATTCTGTGCATGTGCAGCTATAAATAGGTAAGGGAAGGCTCGGTGCCCCCTCTCTCTCCTGTCATTTGTATATGTATATGTGTGTATGAAATAGTAGAAAATCTAATTTGCATTAAATTTGAAAGCTGTCACAACTATGTCACAGATGTGTCCTACCTGTTGAGACGATTCCAAGTGCAAGTCCTCGCCGCTTTTCAAAATACTGACAGGTTGCGGTCACTGTGGCTGTGTACAATAAGCCGCATCCAAAACCTTAAAGAAGGAAGTATGTAGTTACATCGTAATAGTTGCGGTGGAGTATAACAGTGCCGTATAAGAAGATACCGTAAAGTCACCATATTTTCTCCAGTTATTATTATCCCCCCCCCCCCCCCAAAAAAAAAGAAGTATACAATGGAGTAGTAATAATAATAACAGGAATGGCAACATAAGTCTGTTCAGTGGTTATAAATAGGCAGGTGTTTCACAGAAAGCGATGGCTGGAACTATATCTGCATGTCCAATGTAGTGGTGGGACAGGCAGAAGCACCATCTGTATGGTTTAACACCTTCATTTCCTGAGTATTGCAACCATTGGACAGGGATTTTCCAGCAGATCTGATCATTTTCCAAGAATAAGCTCTTGTGACATAGAAAGCCTTCATTGCTGCACCCTAAGGTAGCCCTAAACAGACCAATCCACACCTGATCATCCCTATGTCTTATTTATCTGGAGTAGGATTGGGCTATAAAGCTGCCCATACATCTTACAATTATCTGCTTAGTTATCCATCTAACTGTGTGGATGGAGTAATCTCAACCTGGGCTAATCTGTTGCACTTTTTCTATCTGACCACAGAAAATCTGCAGATAATTGTAAAGGTGTATGGGCACCTTTACCCTAACAAAAAAAAACCAAAACATCCATACTATGTCCAGTTGTATTTAAATAAGAACTCTGGGCAGAAGACAACCTAAAGGAGATCTATGAGGTGAGTGAAAATCACTCATTTAAAGTTCGAGCCGATGTGTGACAATGAAACTGTCACACGTCGACTCTATAGATCGGGAAGTGAGGGAACACATACCATTGCTCGCTCACTTGCTCTCTCCCTGCAGAGAGCAGTGACTGTCAGTTACCGCAGCCATCAGGGATTGCACCCCTCCCGGCTTCGATCCTCCAGGGCTGACTGGAGGAACGGACGGGGGAGAGGGCGGGTACAGCTGGCTCTGCCTCTAGATAGGCAGAGCCAGCTGTCACTCACGCAGCTGGGTGGTTCTCGACAGTAATGTCGGGATCCGTACCGGCTGCAATGGTCTCAGTATACCGCGAGCTGTAGCTGTACCACGATACTGAGGACTCAGGACAAGTCTGAATTTCTGAAATGATCAACAGGTACTGTTTGCACTTATCAAACAGATATAATAAAACTGTAGCTCGCGGTATACTGAGCTTTGGGTCACGGTAGGATACAAGTATATGTCCCCCCGTGACCCTTAAGAGAACTATGGGGAAAAACACTTACCCCATAGTTTTCTTTTAACCCTTGCCATGGGGCTACTTCTGCGCTGCAAGGGTTAAGTGCTTGTTTTCGTCTAGGGTCTCAAATGACAAAGATGTAATCATCGGAACCTCATTCCCACTCCGGTGGTCTAAGAACCCGTGGCTGCAGGGACGGTTGTACCAGCCAGTTGGGACTGAGGTTTGGGAAAGTATAGAAAGTATATCTTTGTTATTTTAGATCCTAGATGACCCTAGACAAATACTTAACCCTTGCAGTGTGGTGGTAGCCCCACTGCAAGAATTCTGTTTTCTTCTGTCTGGAGTTCTTCTTTAAGAACTTGTCACAAACACAGTGACAAATTCTAAGTTCGTATGTTAGGGCAAAATAGGAGAAAAAACAAATGCAGTACATCTCTGCGATTTACTCACATTTGCCACATGTTTTTCCCCCTCAAAGATCTGGCTAGTACAGAGAAATACCTGTTGATCTGCCAGAAATGCATTCAGCTCCTAAGTCCTGTTTTAGGCTGACAACACAGAGCATTTCTGTGGACTGAGTGGTGTCAGCCCTGCCAAGTTGTCTTTTGCTAAACTAATCAAACCCTCCCACTAGTTGTTCTGTGGTCCAAGATAAGAGTTGAGAGTGCTAATTAGACTCTTTGAGATAACACAGGTGGAGTAAAAAGGACTCAGGACAAGTCTGAATTTCTGAAATGATCAACAGGTACTGTTTGCACTTATCAAACAGATAAAATAAAACTAATTTTAGCAAATAGGAGAAGTTCATTGTTAGGGTTTATATAGGCTTTAACGTCTATTTATTACAAAAAACAAAACATAAAGTTGTTTGGCCATGGGAAATCTGAGCCTCCAGTCTCACATCCTCCTTGAACGTTACCAGCAGGTTGTTTTTAGCTGCATCAGTTTTGGCAGCCAGCCAGCAGTTTAATGCTGACTGTTCTATACGTGGTGTTACTTCTTTAAACACACTCAGTGAATAACCTTTAACCCACACACTGTATGAATAATTTACACACACACACATACATTATAATTTTGATCTGGTGCACAAAGGGTTGCCACCTTTTCTTCCAGCGAAACCCGAACACTGTAGCGACTGACGGAAAATCTTTTTAGGAGAATGAGTGGTGGCGTATTCATATGTAAATAGCGCCACCCATTATTATATGTAAATATCACAGGTGAGATTATTTTCAGGGGGGGCTAGTAGCCTCTATCTTAATTTTGGTTGTCCCTGTCTGCCTGACATCTTGTGTCCGGGTTTCAGCTGCCATGAAACCCGAACACAGCATTCAAAACCTGGACTGTCCGGGTGAATCCTGGACAGGTGTCAACCCTAGGTGCACACTGTAAATGTATTGTTTCATAAAACATGTTACTTACCAACCATGAATCCATATGAGAAATAAAGGAAGTAAATATTAGAAGCAAAGCTGCTCAGTATCAGACCCCCGCCTATTAAAAAACTGCTGAAAATGGCAACTGGTCGAGCACCAAAAGAAGAGACACAAACACTACACAGGGGACCTGCAAAGAAAAGAAAAGAATACAGCTTACTATTTATAACAGTTGTTTGGTGTCACGCTGCATGCTTGTACCTATCTTGGTATGCTGAAAGTGACATTAAAGTATATATTTTATTTTCCCTCCCCCCAATGTTAGTGTAACACTTACCTTAAATTATGTCTCTTAATCCGATCTTCTTCTTCTTTCCTGTCGTTTTCAGATGTCTCTCCAGCGCTGCTGTGGGTCTCCAATCCAGCGCTGACTCCTCTATGCTTGCTGGCACTTCCTGTCCCACTGTGTCTGCACGCTGTCCATAGACTTACCTTGTGTCTCTCCTCATCTCCTGGCCAAAAATCTGAACTGTGCATGCGCCCGCCCCAAGATGCTTTGCGTGTGGCGAAGACACAGGTAAGTTTTAACCTCTTGTAAAACTTTTTTTTCCCTAAGGTTTTTGCATATATCTACTGCTTGTTAGCAGTAGATATATGCAAAAAAAAGCTGAGGGTTTAATAACCCTTGCTCAAACCTATCAGCTGTCTCTATTTGAGTGCGACAATCAAATACAAATAGGGTTTACACTTACAAATGAGGTAGGACAAAGGACATCTTAAAGTTCTGAAGCTTTTGATTAATTGCATCTCTGTGAGTGACCCTTTAAGCAGGATATCAAATTCAGTAATAGCATCCGGCAAATGATTATGGTTAAAATGAGTGAACATATGCCTGCATGTACGGTTCATGTACAGGTATGTAATGTTCATCTGATACATATATTATACAGTGTATATATATAT